CCAAGGACTGTTTACTCCTAAAAACATGCCCAAAGTATGGGAGATGAAGAAGCTTCACTATCCTTGCCCCAAGGAGCACTCTGATGACAACTTTTTCAAGACATATATTTGCCTGTGTGACCATCTATGATATATTATGGGATTCAGTACTCTCTTCCAACATCACAACTCAAAGGCATCGATTCTTCTTTCACCCTTATTCTTTGTCCAACTTGCAGATGTATATAGCAAGTAACTGAAAAAGATCATGGTTTTGATGAGGCGCACCTTAGTCTTCAAATGGACATCGTTGCTCTTAAACACAGAGCTTGGTGAAGTTCCTGATAAAAGACTTTCCCAATACAATATGTCTTGATTTCCTGGCTGTTGGTGACAAGAGTGTGGATTGTGTATCCAAGCAAGATTGAATCATGGATAATATCTATCTCTTCTCTATCTGTCGTGATGTTGTCTGTTGGACTGGTAGTGAAGATTTTTTTTCTTGATGTTGAGACATAATGCATATTGAAGGCTGTTATCTTCTGCTTCAAACATTTCATGTTCTCACTCTCAGCAAGCCAGGTTGTGTCATCTACATAGTGCAAGTTGTTGGTAAGTCTTCCTCTGATCCTGATGCCAAAGTCGTCCTCATAGAGTCCAGCTTCTCAAATGATTTTTAAATTTGTTTAGTGCCTAATATTTAACTAATACAGCAATGAAAAATAATATCAGTTTTTAAAAACAAAGTGTGTACAGATTATAGGGATTATAGGTCAAAGTAAAGGAAGTACTGCTTTGTGAAGAGCTCTGGTGATGCATTAGATTAAGTGTTGGGCTGCTAGCTAAAAGGCTGATAGTTTGAATCCACTGTCTTCTGCAAAGATTTATACTCTTGGAAATCCCATTATGTAGTCCTATCCTTCCTCTAGGGTCATTGTGAGTTGGAATTAACCGGGTAGTAATGAGTCTGGTTTTGCTTTGTAAGTTGTTGCTGTGTACTGTAGAGTTAGAACCAACCCACAGCTGACCCTCCAGTGGATTTTCAGAGAGAGTTAATCACACAGGTAGACATTGCCCATTGTCCTCCCACAGAGCAGCTGGTGGCCTCAAGCTGTGTATCTTCAGAATTGCAGCACAGCTTCTTGCCACTGGGCCACCAGAGCTTCATTGCTTTTCAGGTAAGAGAAGAAAACTAGCACAGTAAGGCTGGGGTGTTAAGACTTGAGTAAGAATTAAGCTTTGCTTAGATGAAAAGAGGAAGTGGGGAAGGAAGAGGTACCAAGTTAAACCAAAGCAATGAGTATCAAGGAGGTGAGATGTCTATGCAGATGAAGCAGCTGAGTCTGAAGATGTTTGGACCCTGGATGGGATACTTGTCCCAAAAGTTATTTTTGAAGAATATTATTTAAGATTAGTACTAGGTAAGTAAATAACTGCCTAGGTTCTCACTCTATCAATTTGTAATTTGTGCAAAACGAATAAAGGGACCAGGCCTACCTTTCCTCATCCCTTGGTGGTTACTGATCTGCAAGAAGTCTGAGCTGTGAAGATGATGCACCTTTAGTCCTACTATTTTTCCTACCTCTAGTTGTTTGTAGTCTGTTGTTATGTCTGAGGAGTCAGTTCACAGCAGAGAAGAACATGTCACTGCAGAGTAGAAATCACATATCATCCAAGAGAACTCTAAGGGAAACAACACAGTTTTCCCTGAAGCAATGTAAAATGCAAGCTACAAAGGTTAAATCAAACACATACACTTGCACAAAAATGTGGATTTACCACTGTGCTAGCGCAGTTACTCAAGAGATGAAGTTGATTAATGAAATAATTGAGGCTTTGACTCCAAGGACTTTCAGGTTTCTGTTTTAACTTGACAGTGTGAGGCGACAGTAAGATTTTCAGACTTGCTTTTTAGTTATGTCTGGTTCAAGCTGTTCATGATTCCAGATGAGGGGAGCCACTTTCAAAGATGCTGATCTGGGTAAAAACTGCAGTCACACAGATGATCAGGCAGGACAAAGCAAGACAAACATCTTCGACCCTGAGTCTTAGAAACGGTGTCCAAAGGTTTCAAGGAGGCATTAAAATCTGGCTTAAAAGGTAAATTATCAAAGCAATGGATCTCTCTCCAATGTCCAGTTGTGAGAAATGTATTTTTCCTTTGTAGTCTAGCAAAACAAACTTAGTCTCTTAAGAGGATCTTTTAAAGCAATATTGTTTTGTTTAAAGCAATATTGAGATAAATATATATGTAGTCAATTTTCATACAGTACTTTAACTGTTTTTCTGCTTACAACAATTTTTCCGAGTCACTAAGCATGCCTTGAAGAATTCACTTTAATGGATGTACTAGTTGTTTATGGTTACCATTACAAAGTCCACTACAATAAAAAAGCATTCTATGTAAGTTTTTATTTGCTTATGAAAAGAATACATTATGAGAGTGCAATGAGCTACCATACATATAAATCCCTTGGAACATACTGAGTATTTTCTGTGTTTCAGTTATTGTTCCAAGGGCTTTCTGATGCTGATAGATTTCTAGGGAGAAATTACTGGACCAAAGATGGTAAACGTTCTGAAGCATAGATACCAGTCTGGTGCCTGCTTGCTTTCCAGAGAGGGGGTTCCAGCTCACTCTCCAAACTAGTGATGTGTGAGAGGGCCTCCCTCAAGCACCTTGGCTGACACCCTGTATTTTCAGGTCTTTCACTTGGAGGGCAGGTTCCTGGCACGGCTAACAGAGCAAATCTAGTGGCCTCTATCCAGCCGGTAATTAGCTAAGGAAGTTTGTAGGAGTGAGGAGTCATCTCACCTTTTGTACTCTCTTGTTCTCTGACTACAAAGTGATTCTCAAAATGTGGGAACCTCATCTGCAGAGAGCCTCTACTGGAGGGAATGAATAAAGCAAGTATTTTAGGAATTTTAAAGAAGATGGTTATGGGTAGCTGCTCCTAATTCACAAGGTTGATGGGTAAGGACTGCTAGATGGACTCCTCATGCTTTCAATGTATCTTGCAGCCAATTCCTTGGGGATTGCATCTTCCAAAATGTGCTGTGGCTATTGCCACCCCACTCCTTGATCAGTGATATATGTACACAAGGAATAATTGGTGGGAGAGAAACAGTGAGATGTCAAGAATCATCTTGAGTAACACATCTGAGTAATAGCTGCCCAGCAGAGGAGGCTCTATGTTTCTGAGCTAGAGGCAGATTGTTAGAAAAGGAGGAATAGCTTCTTTTAGGTCACTGGGTTTATGGGTAAGCCACTGGTTTTTCTTCTCAGTTGTGTTTCTATAACTTTTGAAGGCAAGGGATCCTTTTCCCATATTTGGTACTGAGTTGCCTGCCAATGCTAATGTTTGTTATTGTGGTGAGTGAAGCTCATGTTTTCCAGTATTATTTTGTATGCCCAGTGGAACGTTAGGAGACCCACAGATGCTTAGAGGTGGAAATAGCAGGCCTCCTGAATGGTGTTATCCTTTACCTCGGTGGGGGGGGGAATATAAAACCATTGGATGCACACATTAGGATTATCGTCAAGGCCTTGAGGTCAGCAATGGGTTCTTATTTGTGCCACCAAAATCACAAGTAATGAACAACAACAACAAAATAGTTAAGTGAGACTTCATAAAAATAAAGAAATTTACTGTGCAACCATATTTGCTTTCCTTTTTGAAATTGTCCCTCCTGTATTTATTTATCATAAACTCACTGCCACTCACTTTCCTTTCTAATCTTTTGTATGGCTGTTATCAATTAGATCTTAAAAGAGCACACTGTCCAAGGCAAGCTCTTTTTTAAAATTTTATTCTTTTTATGTGTGTACCATCAAATTGGATCTGACTGGTACAGGAGGCAATTGTTCCTCCTTCTTCAGAGTATCTGGTGGATTTGAACCGTGCACCTCTGGGATTGCAGTGCAGTTTCCTGCCACTAGGCCACCAGAGCTCGCCCAAGGCAAGCTCTTTTTACTTGTTAAAATAAACTATTATTAGGTCCTAAAAAAAAAAAAAGAACTTTAGTGTATTGATAGACACAATTAAGGAAGTAAAAAGACAACCAAAAGAATGGGAGGAAATCTTTGCAAAGCATATACTCAGTGTTTTGTTCTAGCATCCAGAACATAGAAAGCAGTCTTACAACCCAACAACAGAAAGACAAGCAATCCAATTTGAAGATGTGCGTGGGATCAGAATAGATATCTCTCCAAAGAGGGTATGCCAATGGCCAACAAGCTCACAGAGAGATGTTCAATGTTTGTCGTTAAACACACTGTCCTTAAGTAGATTATTACTCCTAGTGACCCACTATCAGGTTTCCAAGGCTGTAAATCTCAACAGGTTCAGGCTTCAGAGGCTGTGGATACTGAGGGGAGGAGGCTGCACATCCTTCTTCTATGGAGCAGCTGGCGGGTTTGAATTGCTGGCCTTTTGATGTATTATGCCACCAAAGCACCTTCATCAAAACAGGAACGAGACAATGCTTCACATCCGTTAGGGTGGGTACACACACACACACACACACACACACACACACAGCAGAATTAACAAGTGTTGCCATGGATGTGGAAAAATTTGAGCTGTTGTGCATTTTTGCTGGTGACAATGTAAAGTGGTGCAGTTGCTGGTGGAAAGCAGATTGGTGGTCCCCCCAAAAAATGGTTGCGAGGACAGGGTAAGGGAAATGGGGGGAAAACTTCTTTACAAGTATGGGGTTTTATTATGGGCTAATAATGTTTTAGAACTAGAGAGAGTTCTCGGTTGCGTCTCATTGTTCGTGTGTTATGTGTTAACGAATTATTTAAAATAATTAATTTTATGTTATATGCCTTTCATGCCAATAAAATCAGGACTGTATTCTTTCGCCCCCTCTGGTATGCCAGAATTAATTTTTTTAATTTTAAACTTTAGTAGTGAAATTATAAAATACATTTGATTATTACTACCTTAGAGCCTTGCTAGACGCCATGCTCATGCTTCTCCCATCATTTTCACTGCTGTGAATCACTTGGCTTTCAGTCAGGGCTTCAAGAGCTTTGCGAACAGCTGCAGTGGGATTATGCATCTGACCATCAAGGACATGCCAACGCTGATGGACAGCTGTATCAAAGTAGGTAATTGGAAAGTTCCATTAGATTGGCATATTTCATAAGGGTGTGAAGTATTGGAAAATATGAATGGGATGTTAATCTTGGTTTGTTTTGATATGAAGATAATGGAAAAACTGTATACACATGTATAGAAACCTTTAAACATTTGACTCTTTAGGAGACTTAAAACTTCTGGAACTTTTTTTAACAGGATATTTTGTTTCAGTGATGTTTCTCCTATGTACAAACTTTACATTTACTTTTGATGACTAGCTGCTAAATGTATGGGGAGATGTTTTTCCAGCATTCCATTGGATGCTTTTCCATATGTTCCTTATCCTGTACTCTTATAACAAAGTGGTACAAATAGTTAAGTGCTCAACCATTAACCAAAAGGTTGATGAGTCAAACCAAGCAAAGGAACCTGAGAAGATAGCTCTGACCTCTTCTGTGATTCCTCCCAAGGTCTGCCCCCAGCAAGGCACAGCCTTTAAAACCTGATAGGGTAGTTTTCACTGCACACACCAGCAATGCCATGAATTGGATCACCTAAACGGCACCAGAATTTTTTGGCTTACCTGTATAACGTGATTTAATTTTGATTTATCTGCTTTACTCAAATACAAACATACTAAAATATCCTGGAAAAAAGTCCCATTTTCTCTGAGACTGAGGAATTTTATGGTGTTTCTAAAAGTATGAAAGAAAAAGAAATGACCTCATTACTTTGCTAAACTTGTTCAGCTGTGATTGAATTGAATTCTCTTTTTCCTTTTGAAGCTTTTGGTTGAAAAGTGCTTGTGTCTTAACTCTGTAGTTTTTACTGTTGTTCCTCATATCACCGATAGAGCTTTCAAAGCTCTTTCCCCTTGTAGCCTGAGAAAGGTTTGATTTGGAGGTCTATGCTATTAAAAATATGGTTGAGCATTGTTCTGTCCTTCTCCTTAATAATTGTTTGTATTGTAGTCTTGTAAGAGACCTGGTACTTTAATAGTGAAGGAACTCAGCTGCTATGCAAAGGTTGGAGGTTATGACTCACCAGCTGCTCTGCAGAATAGAGATGAGGGGATCTGCTTCCGGAAAGACTGATGGCCTTGGACTCCATCTAGACAGTTCTGCCATGTCCTACAGGGTCACTCTAGGTCAGAATCCTCTCAATGGCAGTGGATTTTGGTTTTATGGGTTGATATTTGATCATATTAGCTATGACAGTCTATGAATTATTATTTTTTAGTTTTACTCTTATGGAATTCTCAACATATTCTTTGTACTCTTTCTGTGTCTTTTAATAGGAGACAAAAGGATTACTGATAGTTGCTTCAATTTAATAAACAAACATTATCCAAATATCCATCACATTTACACGGTGCATTGCAAAGCCTTCACAGATGGCAGCCTCAAGTCTCTGTCAGTTTTGAGGCAACTGATCATTCTGAGTTTGATGAACTTATTTAGTTAACTGGAGTTATCTAGTCTTTTAGTCTAGGAAACATTGATTTAGAAGCTAGTTTAACTTTGGCTCTTCCCAAAGAACTTACTAGAGCAATGATTTTGTGTGTTTCTGCCAACTTTTTGAAACTTTCTGCATCATATAATATTTTTCCAAAGAATCCTTCAGTGTTGCGACTTCAGACTTGAATTCTCCCTTCAGTTCTCTCAGCTTGACAAGTACTGAACATGCTCTTCTTTTTGGTTTTCTAAATCCAGGTAATTGTACATTTAAGTATAATATCTTACTTTGTGGTGTTTGTTTGGTTTTTTAAAGCCACTTTTTGAAATCTACTCAGTGTTGTTGCTTCATTTCTGTCCTCCCTATACTCTTCCTGCTATAGGGAGCTGCAACCCTGAAGGCTCACAGTTCAAATCTACCACCTGCTCTTTGGCAGAAATTTGAGCAGTCTCCATTTGTGTGTTACACTGCCTCTGAAAACCTGTTGAAGGGTCAGCTATGAGCCAGTTCCGACTTAATGGCACACGACAGTAACAATCCCTTACATCCTCATCCCTCTGCTTCTCCCTCCCCCAACTTGGACCCTTACACTCATACTGCAATAATGGTTTTATACAATATTTGTCCTTGAGAGACTGAGTTAGTTTACTCAGCATAATGCTCTCCAGTCAAGCAATGTTATGCAGGGGGTGGGTGGGATTAATCATGGGGTTGTAAGATTGATGGATGCAGCGGGTGAGGGAAATTGGGAAAAATCTATTCTGGATAACAATGTATTCAAATTTTGTAAATAAACTAGCATAATAATTAAAAAGAATTTAAAAAAAACCCAATAACAATCCCCTTTGTCTTAGTTTTTTTACAGTCTGGATTCAGACTAAAAATCTTTTCTAATACCCATTTTGAATATTTCCTTCTATTTAATAATTGTTTTTAATGTTTAATGTCATCCCATAATTGTATGGTCTTTAGTTATTAATGAGCAATGCATCAAATATATTCTTGAGACAGTCTAAATTTAGATTGGATATGCTAAAGTTTTATACTGGTTGTCTTGGATAGTTGGTTTTCTTCAGCTTCAACTTGAACTTTCATCTAAGCAGTTGATGATTATTTCACATAAGGTCCTGGCCTTGCTCTGACTGTTGAGATTTGAACTTCTCTACTATCTTGTTTCATGGTTACAGTTCATTGATTTCTATATATTCCTTCTGGTAACGGTCATGTATATAGTTGCTATTTATGTTGTTTGAAAAGGATATTTTCAAAATTTGAAAAGTCACTAGTCACACAAAATTATATCAGGTGGTTTCTAGCATAATTTTAATTTATAAGACAATATTTTCCAATTACTAGTCCTTTTTCTTTGTTTCCAACTTTGGCATTCCAATTACCACTAAGCATCAGTGCATCTTGATTGTGTGTTTAATATGATTTGGACTGTAGGAGCTGGTAGACATCTTCAATTTGTTTTTCTCTGGCTTTAGTGATTGATGTGTAAGTTTGAATACTATTTTGAATACTATTTGAATACATGCAAACCAGTGAATTTTTTAAAAAATCTACTGCCATCAAATCAATTGTGACTCAGTCCAAGCTATAAATCTTGCCCAGAGGAAATTAACTATCTTACTGTTGTTGAATGCCTGGTGGATTTGAACTGCCAACCTTTTGGCTAGTAACACAACATGCTACATTCTATGCCACCAAGGATCCTTAATTAATGTATAGATTTTAGTTATTTTGAAAGGTATCAGAACTTTTTTCCTATGTATTTATATTTAAAATCACATACAGAGTTTTTCTCTCTTATAGCCTACAGCCTTAGTGATGTGGGACTTAAGCATTTTCTTCATGTTCCTGTTAGCAACAAGTTAGAGAGCTAAATTTAAATAATTGTGTCCATCTGGGTGATTCTTCCCTTATAAGACTATAAGAGCAGTATCATAGAACACTATTTTACATCGTGTCATTAGCAATTGCATGTTTGCTAATAGTAGAGATTCAAGGTGGATCTAAAATACAGACATGGTCCAGTATTCAGGGAAACTAGATAAATAGACGGCACAAGTTGAAGTAATACTTTTTTTGTCATATCTAATATCTAGTCTTTTCAACTAAGAGATTTGAGATAGTGATTCTTCTGTAGACATACGGGAAACCTTTACATTTTTCTAGGATGTTATCTCTACAATCATCGCTATTCTAGCATTTCACAAGGGATATTATGGCTAGTTAGTTTATCTTTATCCTTCATATTTGTCAGAGTTCTGGGTTCACCAATCGTCAAGTCCAATTTCTATAGCAAATTTGTAAAATACAGATGGGAAACTAAACTAAGCATGTAGTCATTTATTATGTTTCTTGTTTGATACTTTTTGGTGTTTATATCATATTTTTTAAATTGAGAATTGCAATTTAAATATGAAACTAAATCATTATCTTAATATATATAACAATCTTCCTTCCTTTCATCCAACATCTGAATGTCAAATTATTTTCCACTTTAACATTTACTTTGATGTCAAGGGAAATTCTATATCATTTGTTTTCTCCAATTAGGTTTTATATGAAGAATGAGCTACTGACAATGTGACTGAAAGCTAAAGTGAAATGTTTATGCTACTTTCTTTCAGGTGCCCTAATGTAAACTACTTAAATTTACAAAACTGTAGATATTTGACTGACCTGGGAATTAAAGCATATTGTTAGCATCTTTTCTTTGGTAGCTGTAGATATTTCTGGAACGCTCATCTCTAATAAGGTAAAATTTTAAAAAAGACAAACAATAACAAAAGCTCTAAAATGACAGAATATAATTTAGTGACTTTTATTGTTTTCTGCAATATAACCATTACACTTTATATAAACAACAGAATGACAACTTTTGTTTCTGAAATTACTAATTAAAGGAGACAAGTTTCTCAAGATTTTTTTTTCTGGAATAGTGGTAAGTTGTAAATTATTTAACAATCAGTGATCTTGTTTCTCTGTTTAAAAAGTAGCTATCTTAATTAACTGGACGTGGTCAATCTCATGGGGAGGGTGGGCGGGGGAAGACTGCCCATACTTCTCCCGTGGAGCGGCTGGTGGATTCGAACCACATCTCTCTGGGATTGCAGTACAGTTTCTTACAACTTAATTATCTAGTGCTGCTATAACTAAAATACCTCAGGTGGGTGGTTGTGACAAAAGGGTATTTATTTTCTCCCAGGGTAGAAGTCTGGATCCAGTATGCTGAATCTATGGGCAGGATTTCTCTCTCTGTCAACTCTGGAGGAAGGTCCTTGTTTCTTTGAGCTTCTGTTCCTGGGTGGTCTTCAGATACCTTAGAATTTCTCTTCTCTCAGCTCCACTTATTTCAACTGCTTGCTTAATATCTTTTATCTCAAAGAGTTTGACTCAAGATACATCTTCATTCATATATCAAAGACAGTCCATTTCCCAATGGGATCATAACCACAAGCATCTAAAACAAACAAACACCCCTCGTATTTCCTATAACATCATTAAATCTACAACAGCAGCAAAATACAGTATTTTGAAGAAAGTACTAATATGCTGATTTTTTTATTAGAGAAATTTCATGAGTAAAGAGATAATGCATTTTATATGGTTTAAGTATGCATTTTATGTGGATTGTATTCTCTAAGATTGATCAAGATTGACTGGGTGCCTTAAGGTCTAAGCCTTTGGTTCAGGTGAAAGTCTAGAAATGGTCCTATCATATTTTAAGGAACTTGGTTTCTGAAAGTTGCTGCTGCTACCCCTTATCATAGTTGAATCTCTGGTGGCACCCATCCTAACGTGCCCGTGAAACTTCATTTACTAACTGTTGACAGTTGGAAGTCATCCAGTGATATCAGGAAGAAAGGCATAACGTTCTGCTTCCCTTAGGATTAAAGCCAAAAAAAGCCCATGGAGCTGTTTTATTCTGTAGCACATGGGATCAACATGAGTCAGAATTGATTGGGTCCCTGTTTGTTAGATAAGGAATGTGTTGCTGTTAGTTCCCGTGGAGACAAGTGAGACTCATAGCAACTCTAGGAACAGTGGATCTGAACCTTGCCCTATTCCAAGCCCTCCTGATCATCTTGGACAACCTTGAGCCCATTGTTACAGCGATTGTATCAATCCATCTCCTGAAGGGCCTTCCTCTCTTTTGCTGCCCTTCTACCTTTCCAAGCATGATTTCCCTCCCAAGAACTGGCTCCTCCTAACAAAGTTTTGCCATCCTCACCTCTCAGGAGAACCCTGGTTGCCCTTTCTCCAAGACATATTTGCTTGTTCTTTTTACAGTCATTGGGATACTTAGTACTCTTCTCCAACACCACAATTCAAAGGTGTAGAATCTTCTGTCATCTTTATTTATTATAAAACTTTTAGATGCATGGCCAATAATTGAAAAGATCCTGGCTTGAATCAAGTGCACCTTAGTCTTTAAACTAAAACGGTTTCTATTTCACACTCTGGAGAGGTCTTTGACTGCAGATTTCCCCAATGCAGCGTGTCTTTTGATTTCTTGACTGCTGGTACCAAGGGTGTTGCTGGTGGATCCAAGCAAGATGAACTTGTTGAAAACTTCAATCTTTTCTCCATCTATCATAATGTTGCCTATTGGTTTGATGAGATGTAATCCAGAGTGAAGGCTATTATCTTTGATCTTCTGCAGCAGGTATTTCAAGTCCTCAGTTTTAGGAAGCAACGTTGTGTCATCTGCATAATGCAAGTTGTTAATGAGTCTTTTTCTGATCATGATGCCACATTTCTCTTCATAAAGTCCAGCTTTTCAAATAATTTGCTCAGAATACAGATTGATAGATAAGACAAAAGAGTACAACTCTGATGCATATCTTTCTTCGTTTTAAATTATGCAGTGTTCCCTTGTTCTGTTCAGACAGCAACCTCTTGGTCTAGGTGTAGGCTTTGCATGAGTACAAGTAAGTGTTCTGGGATTCCCATTCTTTTCAATGTTAGCTATAATTTGTTATGATTCACACAGTCAAATGCCTTTGCATAGTCAATAAAACATAAATAAACATTCTTCTGGAATTCTCTGCTTTCAGCCGAAATCATCAGACATCAACAATGATAAACCTAGTGCTAAGGTCTCTTCTAAATCCAGCTTGAACTTCTGGCAGTTCTCTGTTAATGTATTCTGTAATGTAATTAGACATTTTCTAATAATCTTCAACAAGATTTTACTTACATGTGATCTCAATGATATTGTTCAATAATAACCACATTCTGTTAGACCAACTTTCTTGAGAATTTGAACAAATAATGGGATCTCTTCTAGTCAGTTGACCAGGTGGCTGCCTTTCAAATTTTCTGACATAATCTGGTGAACACTTTCAGAACTGTATCTGTTTGTCGAAACACATCAATTGGTAGCCCATCAATTCCTAGAGCCTTCCTTTTTGTTAGTGCCTTCAATGCAGCTTGAAACTCTTCCTTCATTATAATTGGTTCTTGATCATATGTGAGTTCCTGATATGGTTCCATGTAAGCCAATTCTTTTTGGTACAGTAACTCTGTATATTCTTTTGAGCTTCTTTTGATGCTTCCTGGATCATTCAAGATTTTGTCCATAGTATCTTTCAGTATTTCAACTTGACACTTGTTTTTCAGTTCTTTTGGCTTGAGAAATACTGAATTCTTCCTATTTTATTTGCCAATTCCATCTCTTTGCACATTTCATTATAATTCTTTGCATTTGTCTCTTCAAGCTGCACTTTGAATCTTTTGTTAATCTCTTTTCCTTTGGCATTTCTTCTCTGTGTTTTGTCTTCGTGAGTCTCTAGTGCAATTTTCAGAGTCACTTTTACTATCCATTTTGGTCTTTTCTTTTCCCTTTGACTCTGTAATGCCCTTTTGTTTTCTTCATAGATGATATCCTTGATGTCATCCCACAATTCACCTGGTCTTTGATTATTAGTGTTCATTGCCTCAGACTTACTCTTAGGGTAACTTTTAAATTCTGGTGGAATAGACTCAAATTTGTGTTTTGGTTCTTATGGACTTATTTTCATTTTCTTGAACTTCACTTTGAACTTGCATATATGTGAACAGTAAATAAGTTTGAATCAATCAGAGAGCTGGTCTTTGCAGTTACTTGCTATGCATCAGAGAGCTGGACAATGACCAAGGATGACATAAAAGAATCAATGCCTTTGAGTTGTGGTGCTGGAGAAGAGTCTTTAACATATCATGGGCTGCCAAGAAAATAAATAGGTCTGTCTTGGAGAGGGTGAAACCTAGTTTCTCCTTGAAGGTTACGATTTTGAAGCTCTGTCTCACATATTTTGGGCATGTGGCCAGGAGAGACTGGTCCTTGGAGAAATACATCATGCTTGGAAGGGACAGTGCAGGAGAGGAAGACCCCAGATGAGGTGGATTGATAAAGTGACTGGGACAATGGGAGTTGATTTGATGTGTCAAAGTTAGTGAGACTGGCTCAGGACAAGGCCGGATTCAATGCTGTTGTACAAAAGGTCACTATGGATTGCAGACAACTCAACAGCACATAACAACAACAATTAGAGAGAGACCTCAAAAGTTAAAGATATATTGATCTGAAAGTTTCAAGTCTAATTGTATATGGGAGCCTTGGTTTTTGTTTTAACTACCCAACTGAGTGTGGAAACTACAGAACAGTGTCATTGATTTCACATGCAAGCAAGATTCTACTGAAGATTATCCAAAAACGATTAGAACAGCACAT